TGAGACCCTACCTTTTGTCCCTGCACATCTGCCGTGATGTGGTCGGCTTCCCCATCCTCAATCTCCCCCATCTTCACGACACTGACTTCTATGGTGCCAACAACTTTGCCACCATCTGAAGTTCTGCAACCAAAAATCAATGACATGGAAAGGTAAGACTCTTCTCTGTTCTTAAATTGCAGTAATCCCCCCTTACCTGTGGTTTCTCTTGCTGTGGCTTCAGTTACTCGGCTATCAACTGTGATCCAAACACATCAAATAGAAAAGTCCCAGAAATAAACAGTTCCTAAGTTTGAAAAATGCATGCTGTTCTGAGTAGCAAGATGAAATCTCACAGAGTCCTGCTCCATCCTGCCCAGGACGTGGATCATCCCTTTGTCCAGCCACTCCATGCAGTGCACACCGTATAATAAGGTATTTTGAAAGAGAGAGACCACATTCACATAACTTTTACTACAATATATTGTTTATAATTGAATAACACTATCAGTGTTATTCATCTCTTACTGTGCCCACTTTATAAGTTAAGCTTTATTATAGCTATGTATGTACCAGTAGAGGAAAAAACAGGAGAACAGCATACATAGGGAGTGGTACTATCCACAGTTTCAGACATCCACGGGGGATCTTGAAATGCATCCCCCTGTGGATAAGGGAGGGCTATGCCCATACATGTCTGTTTCTGAAAACCACTAACATTGCTATCTACTTCAATGGTTTTAATTAAACAAATCTGTTTAAACCACAGCAACGCACGTTAATGTTGCTGTTGTTTTTAATTTCAAAAGAAAATGAGCCATGAATTTGCAAGGTTAAGTACATGGATTGTCAAAACTGACTCCACGAAGGTGAAAGCCCCTCCAGGCTGGCAGGAGTGGCCTCAGCATCACGGGTCAGGGCCCTGCTTGGCAGCCTCCACATCTCTGCAACAGCGTAAGCCACAGCTCCTCTAAACCAGTCACATAGAATCTTGTATGCATCTATTACAGAAAACACAGCAGAATAAAAGGAAAAAGACAACACACATCCCTGTCTTCCTTTATGACTGGGCCATTGTCTACAAAATTTGATTTTGTATCATTTTTCTCTCTAAGAGATCAGGTAAAGAATATTCTCTGCCAGCAAACATAAGAAAGTTAAGAAACATGCAGAACAGAATTTAATCATAGAGATTGGTTAGTACAACTTTTTATTTTTTTCAGATAAAAATTCTGAGACTCGAAAAGATGGAAAGACTTGCCCAAGGTAACAAAGTGGCAAAAATGAAAACCCAGGTTTCCGTCTTTTTCAAATGTTGGTCACTGAACAACTAACTCTTCTCTATTTAGTGATGATGGTAATTTTATTATTAAGATTCTATCACCATTATTGTCTTAAACATGAACATTTTATGGTTGATAATAATAATGAAAGCTAAAAACAAAATGAACCACCACCATCTTTTAAGATTCTCTAATTTCTTTCTCTGGACAAGAAAATATACAGAATAAATGATGCCATCCTACCATGGAAAGACTGTCACAAATAATGGATATTTTTCCCTTTAGCCTTCTTGGAAAATAGGTAGCAAATTACCCCATAGCTATGATGTACTGCTATAACTTCTAAGACTAACTAACAAATAGTAGTCACATGACAATTGGTTTTCTTTATATAGTCATGTTCTTTTCTGAAACTTATTTTTAACTTTAATTTGAATACCTATACTGTCTTTCAACCAATTCCTTCTACATGTCACTACATTATTGTTACAGGTGTCAGAGAAGAGGAAAGTTAGTAAAAGGAATTTACCAAATGCTAATAAAATAATGACTAAGTTAAGTAACAATTATATCACTAGATAATTAATTATGCTTTTGAGAAAAGTGAAATAGAAAATTCTGTTGCACATATATAGCTGGTGTTATAATGTAATAAAATAAAGATTATGTACATAAATGGTTATTTACTTGTTAAATAGCACATTAAGATTTCATATTAAAATATAAAATTCTTCTTGGCATTTTTTGAAATCACTAAATCATAACATTGACTCAAGTATTTAAAATTAATATATAAACTTAATCATTCATCACAAAAAAAGATGTGTATGTAGATGACAGTATAATCTTTTTAGTGAAAAACTATATTAGCTTCAATTCTGGAATGCTATAAATAATTCATTATACCATTTTCCAGTTGAAAATGACATACAAACTTTCATAAGTTATGATATGACATAGCTCTGTACAAGTTTTCAGTACCTGAGAGTAAAACAGTTTATTAACAAGAACCTTCATTGGCATTACCCATAATTATTTTTCTAAGAAATCTGTAGACTTTATCCCCCTATTTAATGATAATGATTGTTATCATTAATAACAATTAAACATACCTGTTCCTTCTTTGAGAATTGTTTAAAAATTTGTGCATGAACAAATTGAGGTAGCTTAATACAAAATCTATATATAACATTCTAATTTTTTCCTTGAACTAAACCAAGGAATGCACATAATGATTTGAAACAGAAGGCAGATGTTTCCACAGCCTATCCCAGGACTGCATAATAAACCAATATATGCCATGATAGTTAAAAGTGTGAACTCAGAAATTTGAGCTATCTGCTAGCTGCATAACTGTGGGCAAGGGACTTAGCTATACAAAACTTTCTTTGTAAAATGGAGACGATGATAACTTTGTTATAAGGATTACATTGGCATTTTTGTAAAGAGTTCAGCACAATGCATTATACAAGCGTTTCTTCCTTTTCCCCCACCTCTTTATCCTAGTAGTAGAAGTAGTAGCAGCAACATAATTATTGATATAATTGCCATTAATGTATTATATGATATTTAATTTTATTCTCTCCAGAAATATTTTTATTAAAATTGGCATTAAATATTATAGAAAAAGATTATAGGATCTTATGCCATATATGAATTTCAACAGTGATTATGTACTCTCTAGAGACAGAAAGCCTTACTAATAAGATGATGCTCTAAAGCTTACATTCCTAATAGTGCAAAAAGCACAAGTTTATAAATTACAATGACAGCAAGCATTTCAAAGAGCCAAAGCAGATGACTGAGCAATGTCCGGTGGGAGTAGCTTCTGAACCATATTTCTATCTGTTTCCTTTGAAATAGTATCCGGCTATTTTTTCAATAATTTTTATGCCTTTGGGTCTCCTACTTCTATTTATCTACTCAGACTTCCACTTATTCCCAGAGCAAACTTAAAGCAAGGGGATTGGTTAATCTAGCAACACTGGAGGGATTGTAGAATCAATATTCCACCTCCCCCTCAATCATTTTGTTTAGAACACTCTACATATCCTAAAGGATGCCTCTTCATCTGGTATTTGTGGGAGACAGAGTGGGAAATCCAGGATATAAACTATAGAATTGAAACCAATGAACTGGCATTTAAAATGCAGAACAGTTCATTATTCATTCTGTATCAATTTACCACACCCAGTGTGTGGATATTCAACACTTCCCTCCAATCAGGAGAATCACAATTGAACTATCTATTCCTTTTCTCCAAAGGCTGTTTCAAAGATCATTTAGTAGAAATTTATGAAAAATTTATATTCTTAAACTTTTAATTATGCTTTCAACCCATCAGGTTGGAGAAGATAGTGATAATTGCTTAGCCATTATTCATCACAAAAATTCTGAGTTGTCTGGAATGGAAATTCATCATATCTGTATGAAAGACATATTGAAGAGAGTTCTGGATTTGGAAGCAAGAAACCCAAGCACTAGTTCCAGCTCAGCTGCTAACTAGCTGTGTGAGGAAAAATATATCACTTAAATAATCTGATTTTTAGTTTCCTTAAGGCAAAACAAAGAGTCAGTTACTTTATGTGCATACATCTGAGCTTAACCAGTGGTCGAGGACAATAGGGGGTGGGGACATGAGTGGGGGGGATTGGCAAGGCGGGTTGAGGACAAATATGTGATACCTTAATCAATAAAGAAAATTAAAATAAATAAATAAATAAAAGGGTCAGTTTCTAATAGCTGTTCTATAATATCAGCAGGAATCACTAATCATGCACTAATCACTACTGTGGTTCTATAATATTATTCTATCATAGATATATAGGCCTTCACAGGCTGGATCAACCTTGGGGAAAATCTGAGACACATTCTAACCTATCACACTCACTTCCACCTTCCTGTCCAAACTTTCCTCAAAACAAAGTACATGATAAACCTGGGAAGAAATTCCAAACTCATAGCCCAATAAAAGAGTGACTTTTTCTTATTTTATCCAAGTATACATATACATTTTTTCTGGCATTATGTTATTTTTACAAGGATACAAACTTGACTGAGCCAAGAAACACTTTTCGAAAAACGTATTTGGCAATAAAAACAGGCTGTAGTAAGACATAACTACCTCAATCTATGTGAAGGGGGGAAAAAACACTCTGCCATTTCAAAACAGCAGGTCATTACCACTAGTTAATGCAGAGAGCTGTAAGAGAAATAAAAGATGGGGTAGTCCATGGCTGCTAAAGTATTTCCATCACAACACCGAGTTCCTATTTGTTTCAGCAGGTACACTTAAATATTCAATCATGCCAACAAGATGAAAGACAGCAAAGAGGAAAATTTCTGCAACACAAATCCATACTCTCCCTTCTCTCTTAGGTTTTCAGCATGCATAATACATTCATGATTAAAGCTCTTTAAAAATCTGCCTTTAAAATAACTCCCCTAATGCTTCCTAACGACACATTCCATTTCCTATGCTGAAACATACAAACATTTTTACAAGACTGAAAAAAGGTGATGGAGATAGTCTTCTAACAAAGGACAATTTCATGACATTCTTCCTCTAAGCTTCTTTACCATCTACTATATCTTTCTTAGTAGAGAAAAAACAAAAAAAAACAAAAAAAAAAACAAACCTACCACTGGAAATGTGAAACAGTAACATGTAAATAATTTCTCTACTATGGAAAATGCCACAGAGATACAAACCAACAAGTGACTTTGTAAATATCCAAGGAAAACCCATCATTAGCACTGTCAGCCTGTGTGCATGAAAAGTAAGCCTGGTGCTATGCGCAGGACTATTCAGCTGTGAGATGTGCCTTGCATTTAAACCACCTAGACAAGTACCTGGGAAAC